AAAATCTCGAAACCAATGGCCAGCAAAGGTGAACATTTTTTCAATAGGGGATCCAAATTTTATGTAGATGCACAAACAAAAGGCTTCAAAATTTTTCTACTGTGGAAACACTGGGAAAGAAAGGGTGAAATATCTTCAAGCTTTCTCATATAGTTAAGATTCTAAAATTGTATTTATCATCGACCGAAGCGATATGGTCGAGCCAAAGAAAGGATGAAGGACTTAACATAAGAATATAATAACATTAATTATGGAGAATACGAGGAATAATCAAGCTCAAAGTCCATTGAAACAATACGAATCGGGAGGAGAGCAAACACGGACCTCTAAAACATCAGAGGTGGGGTCAGGTGCCATGGAGTAGTGAGCATACCTGTCGACCGGTCACACCGCCGTGTGCTCCTTGTCATGATCGTGAAAACAGAACAATCTGTAGACATATCAGTGTGTAAACAATGGCCTAACAATTAGCATGGAAAATGTCAGTCAACTTTCGGCTTAATAATATATTATCTAGTATTTACTGACAACGTTATACTGTCCACCATAGAACTTCATAAATGATGACTTTAAGCATGATTTTGATATCTTTGTTTCATACTTCTGACTGTCAGAAGTTGCCTCACTTTAGAAATTGTTATTTCGTGGGGCATACTGTTGCGTATCGAATCAACTAGGAGATATATACCCCATAGCAGGTGATAAGGATACATTGCGACATAAGTGAGGGAAGTTGGCGATTGAAAAGTTGAAGTCACGACGTTTGTCAAAAAGTTTTGTTTTCAGGATGCACGTATTTTTCTGGTAAAATATTGAAATATGAAACTGTTGTGTTAGACTCTTTGGTATCTTTTATCTCACGTTCACTGGAATAGATCGAGTCGACATATGAATCGAAGTAAACTATTGTTAATTGATAATACGTCTTCGACAATTTTTAGTGTCGAGTTGAATTCCACAGCAAGTGTCTTCTTCTTCTCATGTAAAATTTTTTGAATAAATTCTGCTTCATATAAATACAAAAATAGGTCTGCTAACAAGAGGGTACAATTGGTACCCTTGAACATTCCGACAGATAGTTGGAAGATCTGATCTCCAAAAACTATTTAGATATTGCCAATCAGAAACTCAAGTATCGTTTAAATACCTACTTCAGAGTACTTGTGTGTACAAGCAGAATTATTTTTAAACAAAATTATATTGCAAAATGACCAATGACAAGATAAGTAAATTTATGAGTTCCATTTTTATTGAAAAAGCACTTAAACTTTGAACTTAAATTTATCGTGGGGTTAGGGTTGTATAAAGTGTTGAAAAGTCGTACATTTTGACGATAGTGATTCTGGTAAAATTCTGTGAATTCAAATTTTCTAAGAGTTCCTTTGAGTTTTTAAGTATCCACATCTGATTTACTCGACCTCTCGAATTCATTGTTGTACGGTACTTCTGAAGTTTCTCCTTCACTGCTGATAAAATTTTAGTTAGGATTCAAGAGAGAGGCTTGGTAGAACATTTATTTTACTGGAACCATGTACAGAACTATGTACCTTTGTAAGGATTTTTATGAAGTTTAGGAATCCAGTATAGGTTTGGTAATTCAAATTCATTTTGATTGTTGGGAACATTCAAAATATTAAAAACTGACATATAATCTTGAAGAATATCCTCAATAGAAAGTGGGCTATGAGTATTAGTTGGAATACAACTTGCAGCGTTTAATCCCAGTTCCTCTAATATACAATTAACAAAAATGAGCCTTAAAGTACAAGGACAATGCTGTTACCTGCTTTGTCAGCTGGGGCCACTACATACTGATCGTGTAATCTATCTAAGTCTCTTTTTTTCAACTCTGAATTATTGAAGACAGAAGGATATATTAAAGAAAGTGAGATATTTTGAATTTTCTATTATATAATTGATGCAAAATCTCCTTCTCAAGAACTGCTGGGCCGGAAAAAGATAAAGCTTCGGAGAACGTTTCTACCAATATGTATATTTGAAATTCTTCAAACATGTATGGGGTAGGGCCACAAAAGGTATCACACTTAAAAAGGAATATACTAATATATAGGTCGCCTGCGTGGCGCAGTGGTTAGAGCGTCTGCTCTAGAGTCGCGAAGTAAGGAGTTGATCCTTACGTCGCGGGTTCGAATCCCACTGTGGGACGTGGAGGCCGGTCCTTCGGATGAGACCGTATAAACCGAGGTCCCGTGTCGCAGTAGGTGCTGGCACGAAAAAGATCCCTCACTGCTCAATGGCCGTAAGTGCCGAGTATTGGACAAAATTTGCAGCTCTCCACCGGCAAGTGGTGGCGTCTCCATTTGAGTGAAAAATTCTCTAGAGGGACGTTAAACAACATATAAACAAACAAAACTAATATATAGGAAGAAATCGTATCCAATTATGTCCTTGGGGTGGGATGGGGACAAAGTAAAGGATACAAAGAGCTAGGTTCACTTTATGAATAAAATGGCCCTGTAGATAAACCAATTTATCCACTAACACACTATGACCCTTTCTTAACATCAATATAAAGAAGAGACTTGGCGACTTCAGTGTGTATATAAAAGTTTCCTCTAAAGACTCAAGGTACTGGAAAACAGGTGATGTGAAATTGCAATGTTCTTGAATTTTGCAGAAAATAGGTGAATTTGAGAAACTTTAACAAAGAATTAAATATGAGCACAAACCACGATCCAAAAATAAAAATAGGTTTTATAATCTTAATAAGCAGTTCTTTCATAATATTTTTGCACATCTATACGAAATATTGAAAAAATAGAATCATATTTCGGCCATTTTTCAAGAATTATTCTGGATATGTGAATAATGACAAAATTCATGACGTCATAATGATTTGACTAGCGAGAAAATTACATCATTTTTAGTAGGAAATCAGTCACCAAGTGTTCAAGTGATATTTATTGCCTTGTCGACTAAAACTATGCAGTTTTAATTTTTCAGAAATTGAAAGGGCCAAAAAAGGCCCTAAGTGGCCCTTGCTCTCTAAATGGGAATATACAGTACCGACCAGACACAACCTAACACCAGTGCGAACCCAAAGCGGACCCCGGGTTCGCTTTCTGGGTTCGCTCGAGGACCGCTACGGGTCTGCTTTTGGAAATTTTAGGTGCGCTCTGAGTTCGCCCTGGGTTCGCTCTGCGTTCGCTCGGGGTAAGCTCTGGGTCCGCTGGAGCGAACCCAACGTTCGCTTTCTGGGATCGCTTTACGCACTCATGCATGAAGCGGACCCTGCTTTTAAATCGATCATTTTTGTTTTTGTGGCGATCGATACATGTGCATGCACAGTGGCTGCAACGTTATTATTGACAAAATACACGAAAGATCACGTTACACGAATGATTCCGCAGGATTATTCCTGTTAAAAGAACTATTCATCACGCACACAATTCTTCACGTTACACGATCATTCACAATTGATAACGCAAATGCACGATTTTTTACGCAAAATAGTTAAAAATATTCACGAGTTGGTATTTTTAAAAAGTAATAACTAAAGGCTTAATTAATAGATATTTTAGATTAAAAATAATTATTGCTGCAATTAACCGATTTTGGAAAAGTGAAAAAAAAAATTATAGTAATGGATATTTTTGAATCTATATGTTAATGTTATTTTAGATAACAAATAATTATTCATATTATTCACCGGCTTACGTGTACATTTATGCTGTACATGTATTTTTTTTTTTTTAAATTGAGAAGATCAATAATTTTCATGTTGATCTGGATTTAAACGAAAATGTAAATTAGAATTATAAAAATAAAATAATTGAATTAAAGCACGTACATATACATAATCTTGTACAGTATCTTCAGATGATGAAATGCTATAATCTGTCAAAAGCCATATTTTTTTTAGTAACAATTGTAATAACTATTATTATCTTTTTTCTCTTTTATACATTATCATGTTTGATAAATTTAGGCAATGTATATTAATGGAATTTAAAAATATTAAATAAAGAAAATAAATGTGTAAATATAACATGCTATCTGGATAACTAAAATATAAATATATTTTCTTTTTATTCACGTTGATTATAGTTTCACACTGTACATTAACACACTTTGCTTGTACAATGTTTTATTTACATCGAATGACAAACTGGCATACTGGTTGGTCGTCGCGCTGATTGGTTAACACGTCTTATCGCTAATCCTGATTGACAGCTCTGTTACATAACACCGAACGCTTGTTCGCTTTTTGGGTTCGCTACTGAATTTGGGGTTCGCTTTCGGCGTTCGCTCTGGGTTATGATTAGTGATGTAATTCAAGCATCAGCAGGTTGTATAAATTCAATTATGTATAATCATGGCTTCTGCGATAGGGTGTGGCCACAATAAGGGATGGAGGTTATGTTTTCGGATGTATTAAAATCTTCTTAAAAAAAAAATAAAATAAAGGTCAGGATTTAAGATATTCGTAAGCAAGCATACACAGGTTGTGCAAAATCAAGTTATATCAAATCATATATATTGGGCGTTGGTGAGACCATACTACGGTATCAAAGCTTTATATAGGGATATACGGCTAAAATAGAACCATTTCTTTCGCAGGAAAGATGAAGCTTATATGGAAGTACCCGACATAAGAGCGATTTTAAATTGTTCAAATCGTGGTAGCTTTGGTAGCTTTGGTACAGTGTTGGTTTTTGAAAAAAAGGAGATGCAGTAAAAAAATTTTGAAGAGAAGCAAAGTCACACAAAATCGTATGAATGTTAACATTCTCAATTTGTGTGGAGTCATTTATCACATTAAGGACTTCTTTGTTAGGTTGCGGCTAAAAAGGGGATAATATTGTATATAACATGCATACAGGGAAGTTGAATTCTTTTAAACAATATTCATCTGCAGAACAGTAGGAACATACCGATATTGAAACATCTCACTTTCTTTGGATTCTAGTTCAATTAAGTCATAACTTTTTTATCAGGGTTTTTATCGGAAAAATCTGGTTATTGAACGGGGTCGGGCGGCTGCCAAAAAGGTACATCATTTGTCCGGATAACTCCTCCTATACTTTTGAAGATAGGACGTTTTTGTTTAGCAGATCAGTTATACATATATCAGATATACGCTTGGTGCTTGGAATTTCATTTTCGATCATATATGCGGAAAAAGCAGTCGTTGAACTTACTCATTTTAATGCAAGATTTTATCAAATTCAACAGGTTAAAAACTTACGTCTTTTCAACTTTTATACACAATCATTCCCCACGATAAATTAGAGTCCAGGCTTTTTAATATTATTGACAGCTGCTTTTTCAATAAAAATGGAACTCGTAAATTTACTTATCTTGTCATTGGTCATTTGCAAAATTATTTTGTTAAAAAACATTCTAATTGTACACACAAGTACTCTGAAGTTGACATAAGAAGATGCTTGAGTTTCTGATTGACAATATCTATGTGGTTTTTGGAGACTAGGTCTTCCAACAATCTATTGAAATTCCCCCTAATTAGCAGACTTTTTTTGTATTCACATGAAGCAGAATTTGTCCGAAATCTTATACGTGAAAAGAAGAAAACACTTGCTGTGGCCTTCAACACGACATTTAAATATATCGACGACGTATTGTCAGCTAACAATGGTTATTTCCATTCTTATGTCGATACGATATATCCTGGTGAGCTTGAGATAAAAGATACCATAGATTCTGACACATCTGTTTCATATTTGGATATTTTACTTGAAAAGGACGTTAATGGTATCTAACAACCAATCTTTATGATAAACGTTATGACTTTAACTTTTCAATCGTCAACTTCCCTTACTTATGCAGCAATATACCTTCATCACCTGCATACGGGGTTTATATTTTTCAGATGATTCAATACTCAAGAGCATGCTTTTCGTATGTACAATTTCTAAAACGAGGTAAATTATTGACAAACAAGTTGATGAAACAAGAATATCAGCAGTCTCGTTAGTCATCATTTCGTAAGTTCTATGGTCGATACAATGACTCTGTCAGCAAATACAATTTATCATTGAGTCAAATGTTGACTGACGTTTTTAATACTAATTGTTAGACCATTATTTACGCACTGAATTGTCGACGATTTTTCGGTTATTTCCCGATCATGACAAGGAGCACACGGCGGGTGTGACCGGTCGGCAGGGGATGCTCACTCCTCCATGGCACCTGATCCCACCTCTGATGTTTTGGAGGTCCGTGTTTGCTCTGCTCCTATTTTGTATTGTTTAATGGACTTTTGAGCTTGAATTCTGTTCGTTATCTCCATATATTTCATCATAGAACATGCCACTTTAATATGGCAAATTGAGACACAATAATTTCAATTATTCGTCTGATTATCAATAACTATCATAAAACAATATAAATTTCTTGTATTATTATTTTTTTTATTTTTTAGATACATTAGACGACAGTCAGCATCTATGCCAAAATAATACTAGTTCCCACTTTTTGATCACAGGAAAGAAAAGAATTTTACTGATTTGTGGCATAACATTTCTCATGTCATTATCAGTTTTGTTACTGGTTGCATACCTTTTCATTACTAAGAAAGAACTAAGAAGGTGATTAATGAATAGTTCATACAAAAAGGATGCAAGTAGAAATTGGTTATCAAATTCAAAAAGATGTCTTCTGTAAAGCTATGTACCTGAAATAAAACTATCAAAGATTTTTAGTTTATTGATTCAATTTGTATAAAATACAAAAAAGTGGCTTGGAATAAAAAGGACTACATAAGTATTATTAAAATATAATTCTTTCGAAATTCCCTCGCCTTTTTTTCTGCAATTCATCTGATTAAAGTTGACTATGTTTGTATTACATTGAAAGATGACAAGCTTTCTTTTCTTCCATTAGCTACTGTCACTTTGTTTCTTCGTCCTTAAAAAGTAATCTGTTTAAGTTCATTTATCCGTTCATGCTACAAAGACCTGATCAAATTATATCTTGATATTGCTTACAAATTTACCTTAAGTTTGTAACATCATAATTATAGTTTAAAAGATCGATTTTAACTTTACGACTACCTAAACATACATTGTTTTGTAAATATTTAAGTTATATACATGTATATGCAATTAAAGATATTGACATGAATGTAAAATAATGTCTCAAGTCCTATTCCGCTGCAATCTTCAATTATTTATAGATTTCAAGACAAACTTTTCAGGTGGATAAACGTTGCAAATTAATTACATTGAATATTTAAGAAAAGTCTTTCCTCCCACATAAAAAGAAAACAATCCTCTTGATAATACGCAGTCATAGCATGGTGAAGAAAATTTTACTTTGTGTTTTTGATTGTTAATAATTATTGCACATAACCCATACAGATCTTATAATGAACTGGAACGTACTGAAAGTGAATATGAAACCTATAAGATGATTGATTATAACATTATAATGTTAACGTCTTCATAAAACCACTTCCATAATGTTAATCTAGGAAGTCGTCTGCATTTAAGGTATAAAAATTCTTTAAATTAATTTCTGTAACGATTAACTTCCATAATGAATTTTTTTCTCGAAGTTTTAGCTGAATACCAGATTCGTGCCAGACTTTCAAAATCATATTTAAACTTTCCCTTCTAAACAGCAGAATAAAATCAAAGTAAATTCATTCCAATAATAAAAAAATGTCCTATTTACACATTAACTTCCAAACATTTCCTTATGACCGCTGGTTTATCTTAAGTGTTATAAGAATTTAACGGTACCAGATTTATGGACAATTCTTTTTCCACTGATATGACAACAAGAGAAATGTATTGTTCAATTGGCTAAATGAAGCAATTTTTTTATGCTATACACCCTGAATAACAATGACACTGTAAAATGCTAGGGTAACCTTGTCGAGTTTTTAATTCACTGAGACAGGTATGACATCGAAATGGTTATATATAGCACATGACGGTTCTTGCTTAATAGTTTTTTTTCTTTATAATTTAAGTGATTGTCGTAATTATAAACAAGCAGTAATGGTGTACTGATATTTATGAAAATATTTCCCCAAAAAAGGGACGTTCCAGGTTCTATGATATGTTTTCTTAGTAACGAGTTTCCCCCTAAATCTTGGTCCTTACATTTTTATTGTTAAATGACTCCAGACAATCCTTGTGTCTTTTTACGATTTAGAAGAATAATGTAGCTGAGCTGAAGAAGAAACAAGAGCAACGGATCAGATCAACATTTCATATATATTATTTTTTTTTTATATAATTCTTGCCATCATCCCCCCCCCCCATTTATTTTTTTTCTAATGATTTTGTCGAGACTAAATTAATCTACGTTATAAGCGACCTAATGTTAAGTAATGTAAATCATATATGGTACCAATTTTGATGCACTAGATACGCATTTCGACAAATTATGTCTCTTCAGTGATGCTCAAGCCGAAACGTTGGAAATTCAAAATATTTAAATAAAAAAAGACTTGGAAGTAAAAAGCATATTAAATCTTTAAACTGTAAAATTAGATCGGTTTACGAAAGGTATTTAACTCTCCCTTTCAATATTAATGTTACAGATATTTGCCAGAATATTTACAAATTTCACTCCTCCTTTCTCTTCTCTAGAAGGATATCGTTTGCTAACTGTAAACATAACAAAGAAGGATGAATGTTCAGCGGAATTATTCTACTTGATTTTTTTATCTGATATATAAGGGACCCGGTCAGTTGCCGAGAAACACTAATTTGTTTTTATGAACAAATAAAGACGTATTTTTTTAAAAAGTAAATGTGCAATTATAAGTGCCTGTCTTTCTTATTTACTTAGTTACATGTACATTGTATTAGTAAATTGAAATCTTCATTTAGGGTCAAGCTCTAGTAAACAAAAGGATCCTACAAGTTTCTAAGAGGAATGAATTCCTTTAATGAAGTTTAATAACCCTATCTTGGTAAAATGATGTGTATCAGGGCATGCTTTTTCGGTAAATTGAACAAAATGATTTTTAACTGTCCTTTTAAAAGAAATATTGAAGAAAATCAGCTTTAAAGAGCTAGGTTCACTTTATGCATAAAATGGCCCTGTCCGTATATCAATTAATTGACTATCGCCATTTGTCCCATTTCACATATAAAAATAAAGAAGAGACTAAGTGCTTTCATTTCCTATAACAAAACTTTTTTTTTTGAGAATCCAGGTATTGGAAAACAGGCTTTGAGAAAATGCAATGTTCTTGAATTTTGCAGAAAACATGCGTATTTGACTACCTTCAGCAAAGAATTAAAATATGAGCACAGCTTACGATCCAAAATTTAAAACATGTTTTGAGATCATCAGAAACCGATCTTTCATTATGTTATTGCATATTTTGGATCAGAGGTTGTGCTCTATATGAAATATTGAAAAAATACCTTAACTTTTGTCCATTTTAAGGGAATTTACAGGATATGGGGAAAATGACGCGTCATAATGCATTAACTAGAGAGAAAATTACATCATGTTCAATAGATACACGGTAACCAAGAGTCCTAGTTATAAGTACTGCATTTTTTCAACCAAAACTAAGCACTTTCGATTTTTCAGAAAACCTCATTGGCAAAAAAGTCCCTAAGTGGCTCTTGCTCTTTGGAACTCTTTCTTCATGCCACATAAATGAAATGTATCCAGATTGTCTGTCTCTCAGCAACGGTAACTTGTATGTTCTTGACATCTTTTAAAGAATATCAAACTGAATATGGGTATGCAGGTTACTTTTTACATGACTTCATAATGAATGCTAAGGAAATGTTTTAGTTACTTTTACGTAATTTACCGATTGCTGTATTATACGGGAAAGTTCAAGGCTGAATTATTACATAATTGTTCTAGCTTCATAAGACTGCGTTAAGAGGAATAATGATCTCCGTAGGAAAATGACCCCCCCCCCCCCCCGCCAGTCGTGAAAAAAGTAATGTTTTCGTAGAAAAAAAACCCTAGAGGTAAGTTTTCTTTATGCACAACCTATACGAAATTGACCCCGGTTAAAAAATGACAACAGAGCGATACAAAGTTTAAA